CCTCCTGGTCAGGCACGGTGGCACACATCTGTAATCCCAGCAGCAGGGGAGACTGAGGCAGGAGGATCAATCATGAGTTCGATGTCAAACTCATCAATTTAGCAAGGTCCTCAGCAACTTAGCAAGATCCTGTCTCAAAATAAAAAATAATAATAGCTGGGGATATGGCTCAGTGGTTAAGTGTCCCTAGGTTCAAACCCCAGTACCAAAAAAAAAAAAAGAAATATACCCCTTCCTTCCATGCCACACAGGTCCCCAATCCCTAGGCACATTATCTATGTAGTTAAGCAGCATAGCCCATTAAATCTCTCCACTGAATGCCATTTCCTTTTCAGAAGCTGAGGCTTATGTATCAGTTAAGAGAATAAATTAAATTTAAATTTAAAAAAAATGCTGAGGCCCCCTCCGTTGTTCACTTTAGTCTCGAACACCATCTTCCAACTGTCGTGCCCCACCCAGCCTGACCCACCCACACATCTGGGCAGAAGAAATGGACACCTGGAGGCCAAGTGGCGACTCTGGGATGGGGTGCATATGTTGAAGATGGGCACTGCATGCACCTGGGAAGTCAGGAGAGAAGGGCTAGGTCTGAATTCAAAACTGCCTGTTTTTACTCCATGTCACCCTCCCAATTCACCTTTTAAAAAAAGCACTTTCCAGTGAAGAAGGACAGAAAAGAAAGGAGGAGAGGAATTCAGAGGAGAGAAGACAAGGGAAGGGAAAGGGAGAAATCACTATAATTTTGTTCCAGGAACTAGAGCAATTTGGGATTTCACGCCCTCTTAAAGTTGAATGGTGTCGTCTGGATTGTACTTTGTTTGGAAAGCTCCGAGGTGGGTGGGAGGGGGCTCTGGCAGCTGCTGGCACCCCAGGGATTCCTACCAGTCAGCCTGCTGCACTGCAGAGGCCTCAAGCAGAGAACACACAAGTTGAGGAGGGCCCTGGCACCAGCCTCTCCCAGTGATGCCCCAAGCTTGGCTCAGCAACCCCTGTGGACATCATGAGGTCACCGAGGAGTCCAGTGTCTCTCGGCAGCCACCAGTACCAGAGTGAACGTTGTTAGCTCAGCCGTGCGCCCTCTACACCCTGCCTGGAGGGAGGGTCATCCTAGGAGAGTTAAAGGGCAGGGCCGCCCCAGGAGCTGAGCAGAAGAGCCGCCGAGAAAGGGTCAGGGAAGTCCCCATTTCAAATCTTTCCTGTTTCCTTTTGCCCCTGCTTTCACCAGGCAGACTCCACATGGTCCACAGCGCTGTACCTAATGTGGTTGGAATTTCCTCCTCCACCCACCTGGCATGCTCCCCACAGACTTGAGCACTCCTGACCAGGCCAGGGGTTCTCACTTCCACCCCAAATGCCACCATACCAACTGCCACTTTGGAACACCGGTTAGAACCTGCTGCTCAGTCCCAGCTGGAGAGTGAGTCACGACCACCACTGAGCAAGTGACCCACAGAGACCTTGCACTCCCTGTCTTGGTATCCCTTTGCTGCCCACTATAATCCTGGGGGCAGCCAAAGGGCCCAGCAGCCTGGCCCTTGACAAATGAATGAGTACTCATGTCCTCCACCTGGTGTGGGGACTCAAGGAGGAGAAGACACAGGAAGGGGGAGGAAAACTGCCTCAAGTCTTCTAAATAACCACAATCCAAGGCTGTGGACTGTGGGAGCAACAGAGACACTGGAGCATGAGGCTCACATGCTTCTGACCATAGCCCCCAGCCAGGAGTGCAATTCACACTGCAGCCAGGGACACACACACAGCCCAAATGGAATTTCACCAAGCAGCATTTCTTACTGCATGCCATGCCTGCTCGTATTTGTGCTCTCACCAAACTGTCTTTTTTAAAAACGCTGAGCCCACTACTGAACCACAGTTTCAAAAACATGGGTCATTAAAGTGACAATGGGAGGTGAGAGGGATCTCATGAAAAAGCAACTTTAATATCAAAACCTTAAGCATTAGTGAGGCTGCCTTTCTGCACTCAGGACAAAACAAGCAGCTCAGCAGACTCAGGGTTCAATAGGACGAGGGCTGGGTTCCACGACCCACACTTCCAAGAACAGAAAAATGGAAGAAAGCAGGCCTACTTAACACACTCATTTAACAATGACAAGATTAAAGGGGAAGCCAGGAGCAGTAGTGCACACCTATAATCCCAGCGGCTTGGGAGGCTGAGGCAGGAGGATAGTGAGTTCAAAGCCAGCCTCAGCAATGGCAAGGTGCTAAGCAACTCATGAGACCCTGTCTCTAAATAAAATACAAAATAGGGCTGCGATGTAGCTCAGTGAGTGCCCCTAGGTTCAATCCCTAGTACCAAAAAAAAAAAAAAAAAAAAAATTAAAGGGGAAAAACAAGCCTTTCAAAACTCAAGGAAAATTTTTCTTCCTTCCAAAATACAATTTGCACTGATTCTTTCAGTTTAATAATTTATTTTGAAATTTCAAAACATTAAAGGACAACGGGCACTCTGTATCCAGAGAAAGCAGTCATGAATCAAAGAGGCACAAATGCTGAACTTGTCCACAGCTCCCACTGTACCCATGACAAAGCTAAGGCACAGAACCATACCTAAGGCAAGAAACAGGTCGGAAGCTGGACTGGCAGTCCAACACAGGTCTCCTGACTCGATTACTCATGGTCTTCCATCCTCCAGAATATCTAAGAGAAACGAGCTGTGTCTCCCAAGTGAAGCTTTTCCATCACTGAATCACAGATGTCCCTGCCACCTCGTGCTGGTCTGGTTAGACCCTGGCACTCAGCTGCCCCCCTGCCTAAGATCATGCCACTTTTGCTTGTGCCACTTACCTCTCTGTGCCTTTTGTCTCTGCAAAAAAAACTAATGAATAAAAGAATTCTTTCTACCCTTCCCAAGAAAGTTGCAGGGGAAAACAAGAGACTCTTTACAACCAACCCTACGTGCTCAGGAACGGCAGAGCCCCCAGAGTCACTATTTGGAGTCAAAGTCAGAAAGCCATAATGAGAAGATTTTATCACCTCACTAGCCGGAGACCTTACTTTATGACAAGCCCTATACAGCAAGAGACAGTGACGAGTCTCTGACAGAACAGCACCTACCACACACACCATGCTAAGCCATCCACCGGTGAAACTGCTGGGAAAGCAGCGCCAGGAACACAGGCAAGGTCTGAATCAAAACACTAAGGTCTCCAGGCAGAAGAAGGAGCAGGGAGAACCAAACCCAGACCACATAAGTCAAACAGAGACAGATGCCTCCAGTGTCAAATGGAGCTCAAGCGCATGACTATTTCTAACCCTCAAAATATGCTAAAATGAAGCTCTGAACTGACTCAAGGCAAAAGAGATCACGGGCCAAAAAAGGTGGCAGGATTCCTTTGACAGAGCTTTTGTCTCCAAGACACCAGTGGGTCTGGAGCCTGCTCAGATTACATCTCCTGGCTCCTAATTTTCCCCAGACTCTGCCCAAGGTTCTTGAAACTACAGTTTCAAATACTGGAAGTTTTACTTCATTTGAGGGGTTCTTTCCACACCGGTGCCAGCTGGCATCTATCCTAAATCTTTCCTGGAAAATCTTGGTAAATTTAACAGACAAGGTCTTCCCCCATCCCCTTGGTAACAGTGGCAGGAAAAGTCATCCCTCCAATTCCCCACTGGGACACTGGAGGGACAGAAGGGTTGATGACTCAGACCACTCAGTGCACTGGATGTAGGCCTCTTACTTACTATGAGTGCAGGACCAGCCACTGACTGCCACCTTTGAGAAAACCCTGAGTTAGACCTCTGGTCTTCAAACTTGCTCCTGTAGGGCCAGCATCCACTACAGGGCACAGGTGCTGGTGAGAGCGCTCTACCTTGAAAGATACCTGACCACTTGAGAAGGTCCCAAGTTCCCCAAAGCACACTGGAGCTGCAACCAGGGGACTCGGTGGCTGTGAGTCAGGGAAAGCTAACCAGTTCTTCTCTCTGTGCCTGCATTGCTTCATCTGTTAACTTCCAAAATTGCTTTACACATGAGATGAGCTATGCCTCTAAAAGTGCAATGTGTAAGAGTCAGCACTAGTATTACTCGCCGTACCTCTCTCCTGGCCATTCAGTTACCTGGACAGACAGCTCTCAGGATAACAGGCAAATCCCACCTGTTGAAGTTGCCTTCTTACAAATAAATGCATATAAAACCACCCGGGGAAGTGACCAGGTCAAACTCGGCGCCCATGACACAATCCACAGTACAGGATGTATAGAACAAGTTCTTCCCCCACTCCTCATCTGCCCACCTGCCAGCAAGCAAAAGAAGGCAAATGTCAACTGCAGGTCTCATTGCCTCCCAGTTGCTCAACTGCCAGAACTCTGGGGAAGAGGCACAGGGGGATCACACAGGGCGTCAATGAACCAGTACCCTCCCTCAAAGAGCTGCCACGAACCAACCAAGAGCACCCCTGCCACCCGCTGGTCCCCCAAACCAGCTGGGGCGCAACAGGCACACTCTGGGGCCAGCGGGCGCGCGACCCGACTGGGGCCACGTTTCTTCTGCTACCGTGGTTGTGGTTAAAGCTTCCCATCGTGAGCTCTTAGGATCAGAAACCGCGCACGTGAGGGCAGGCTCAGCCACCGCGCACCGCAGGCGTGGTAAGACAGTGCAGGGCTGCAGCACCCGCCTCCCTGGAGCCCCATCGCCGCCACCACCCAGGCCAGCGGCACTCGCCACTTGTCCTACCCGGCCTCAGCGCCGCCACAGTGGGGCCGGGCACGCGGCGGGAGTGGCGGTGCCTGGCGCCGACTGCGGCTCCCTGGCGGGGTCGTGGGCGCCCCCGGTGCCCGAGTGAGCCGCAGAAGGAGCGGCGGCGCGCTCCCCGGAGCTCGGGCTGCGCGTGCCCACTCCGGGAGAGACCCCAGCCCGGCCCCGGCCCCGGCCGACAGCGTGGTTTCGGGGCGCTGCCCCAGGCTGGTCATGCGCGGGATGCAAACGTGCGCGCGCGCTCCTCCTCTGCTCTCTGGGTCCCTAAAGTTTGCGGGCGCCTCACCTTCACCGAGTCCACCGGGTACATGACCGTATGCTCCAGGATCCCGGCCATCGCTCCGGCTGTCATGTGGGTGGATACGGAGGCGCTGGTCGGCAGGTTCTCATAGTCCTCCGACCCGGCGTCCTTGCAGCAGCCGCCGCCGCCATCTCGGCTGTCCCCATCCATCCTCCGCCCTACAGGCTGGCTGCCCACGCCGCCACTGCGTAACTCCATCCGCCAGCCCCGCGCGCCGCGGGAGGCTGCAGAGGTGGGCAGGAAAGGGGAGGGGGCGGAAAACTTCACTTCTTAAAGTGGGAACCACCTCCCCGGCGCTGAGGCTGCTGACGCCATGGCGGGCTGGGGTGGAGCCATCGGGCCGGAGACACCAATCACTGGAAAAGAAGAGGCCGGCCACGGCCGAGCTATTGGTGCGCCGTGCAGTGGGCACCGCCTCCCTGTGTGACGTCACTGTCCAGTGCAAATTTCCAAGCAACCGGACGGGGGCGAGAGCAGGCGTTGGGGTGTCCCGGGAAGTTGTGCTGCCCAAGGGTCTGCTAGGGGCGGGTAGGGGAGTGGACCCTGAGGAGGCTCAACCAGGCCTCAGGGGAATATGCCCAGAGATGGAGGGAGATCAGCAACAGAGTCGGGGGGGGGGGGGGGGACCCGCCTCCAGAGCCGGTTTTGCAAACTGCGTTACTTAGCAAGCTTTGGCATTCCGAAGGCCAGACGCAGGATGGCGGGGAGTTGCTGGGAATGTCAGTTATGAAGCAGTTATGGTGGTTGGATGGGGAGTGGTATTGGGAGGGGGGTTCTATAATTGAAGACAGGTCTCCATATCAGTGGGTACACCAAGAGGGAACAAGTTTAAAAGTTCAAGGTCCCTTCCTAGTTGACTTTGTGGAAAGAACCCCGTTTATTTGAAATTGTTTCTCTCACTGAATACATACAATGAAGAGCTGTGTATGTTACACCTCTTGTTCTCCTGAATAGGCCCAGTCTACCCTTCTCTGGATTGACTGAGACTTTGGTAACCTTTGGGTTAGGTGTCACCCCCACATTTTCTTTGGATTAAGAAGGGCTTTAGACACCTGATTTCACAGGAGGAGTGCCAACTGGCTGAGAGTAAAATCTTGCAATCTGGGTCTGCCTGTCTGTTTTAAGACTGGTTTCCTCACTTTTAAAAGTCATCTTACACTGTAGATAGGGCAAGGGGAAAAGGGAAGGGAGGGGGCATGGGGGTAGGAAAGACTGTGGAAAATGGTGGTCATCATTATCCTAAGTTCATGTGTGAAGACACAAAGGATATGACTCTACTTTGTGTACAACCAGAGATATGAAATTGTGCTCTATATGTATAATATGAATTGTAATGCATTCTGTTGTCATCTATAACAAATTCAAATCTTAAATTTAAAAAGTCATCTCACTGGCTTCTTCTATAAAGTCTGCTTTATCTTAACTTAATATTGTCTTGCTCCATCTGGGAAAAAAGAAATCCATCTACATGTGCATGAGAACTGCTGGGGTTGATCAGCTTCTGCAGCACCAGGGCCTCCTTGCCTTATCTAGACAAGGCTTCTGGTTAGGAAAGCTGGACATTGAGATATGCAAGGGTGGAGGAAACTCTGAAGATGCTGTTCCTGCCAAGGTCCAGGTCGTGGTGTCATAGGCAGCTCATAGGGATTTGATATACAGTGATGTGTGCATCAATAGAGATCAACAGGCATCGGGATCAAGGGCACAATTTTCCCATTTTTGGTAACTACCCATAGTAGGTCCTATGATGAGGGCTAAGGTAGAATACCTTAGTGATAGGTAAGAACATGTTCACATGTGATGGCTAAAGAAAAATGTCTGTGCTTTTGTCAAAGGTGATTTGTAAGAGGCTTTGATCAGAAATTGTGGACACTCCTTTAAAAATGGCTGCCCTTTAACTAGTATATTTGAATCCCTTGTCTTGCTTCTGGGAATGTGACATCAAAACCCTAATATTTGTAAAGATCTTTATCAAAGCGTTATTTACAGTAGTAAATAATTAGAAGTAAACTATTTAATCAGGGGAGACTGGCTAGGTAAATTATGACATGAGTATTAATGAAATCTTAGGTAGCCATTAAATATCGTGGTTCTGTTTATGATAACATAGGAAATTATTTAATGCTTGAAAAAGCAAAACAAAATTCTATAGCCTTTACATTCACAAAGATGTAAATATGCACAGGAAAAATGAAATGGCTATTGTGGTGGTGACAAAGTATTATAGGCAACTATTTTGATTCTACTTTCAGATTTTAAACAGAACTGGTATTATTTCTAATTTAAAAATTAGAAGAATGAGTCATTCTATTAAAAAATATATCTATACATATATCTCCTAATGAATGAGAAATCCTTCAAACTTTTCAACAGTGATACTGGTAGAAAGAATTCATCTTTTGGATGGTGAGGCAAATGGTGATCCTGATTGTCACAAACACACATATTTAAATTTATTTCATTAAGTAAACGTTAAGTCAGAACCAACTGAAAATTTTTGGATTATTTATTGTAAGTATCAATTTCTCTCCCTCCCTCTCTCCCCCACCCTTACCCTTTCTCTTTTTTTTCCTCCCTCTCCTTCCCACACTCCATATCATATTTATCATGTGTGTGTGTGTGTGTGTGTGTGTATGGGGTTGGGCACTCATCCTTCATCCTACACTCCTTGTACTGCAGTAGCCAGAGCATTTAAAGCCACATTTCTCAGACCCCCTTGTAGCCAAGGGACTAGATGCAAGTTATTTTCTTCCAGTAGATGAATTAGTGACTGGAAGGTAGAATTCAGAAGGAAACTATTTTCCTGCTATTTTGATGTTTTCTGCTGCCCAGGAAGATCATAGACACTTGGGGTAGGAGCATTTGGGAAGGACAGTGGCTTCTTTTACAAAGTCACAGTGTCTTCATCAGATTCATTGGTGTTAAGAGTGCTTGGTGACAGTGGGTGCCAGCGGTGATGGTGGCATCCTCTTTCCTGCACCATAACTCCAGTTAGTGGCCTTCGATTCCTCCCCTTTGAGAGCTGGTCAGAGGAAGCTATTCCCTTGGGAAACCAGCTTGACCTGTGGATCTGAGAGTTATCCCTGGAGTCTGACCCCACCCCTCCCGTCACTATTGTGCAGAGGAGCAGAACCTCATGATAATGGTGGAGCCATTCAGGAAACCCAGCCGCAGGTCTTGTTCCTGGACCTCTGGAGAAGGCCTGTCAGAAGGACAGCATCCCAAACACTGTAACCCAGTGCTGTGGCTATAGGATCAGCAGGGAGGGAGCAGCTCTTTCTTTGAATAGCAAGAACCCAGGGACCAGGAGCACAAGAGTGGGTGCTTATTTGAGTCTTTCCTTTGGAGCAGGCCGGGAGACTCAGGAATGACTGACAAGTTTGGCCAGAGTCTTACACAAAGTTTCTGAAGGTTGAAGTTCTGATGAGGACATCATACTGCCCTTCACCAATTGGAAGCAAAGTTCCACTTAGAAAGGGGAAGTGACTGAGCATGGAGAATGCAGAGCTCGCACCTCTAGACAGGGACCCTTGCAAATCCCCAGTTTCTCCATTTATTAGTTGTGTGACTCTGGCTTTTGGGCTGGCTTGCTTCCTCCTCTGTAGTCCAAGATCATTAATACTTTCCACATGCTGAATGAAATATAGAAAAAAAATAGACCCAAAGTGAAAACTCTGGTGAAATGTATATAATTTAGGGGTGTTTGGAAGACGAGGCTTTCTCCAAAATCTTACTTTTCCACAATAATTACTCAAGCCCTAACATCTGCCAGCTCCCTACCCCCATGCAGTGCACAGATAAGATACATTTCCACCCTCCCCAGAACCTAGCCAATGCTGGGACCATGCACTCCTGCACTCTGTTCCAGAGAGAAGGTCCTTTGCTGGGAACTGAAGCTGGCATCATGTCTCCCAGGACACTGGACAGTGTGGACCCAGGGTGGTGGGCTATACTTCAGGTCTTTGTTTTTAGAATGGATGCTCATTCACATGCTGGTTAATTTTAAGTCAAGTGTTAAATATTGGGAGGGCCACAAAGCCTCTGGACATAAGGTCCCTCGCTCCTGTACATGTCTGGCCCGGTAATCCCAGATTCTTTGCTTTCCCTGGAACAGGATCCTGCTTTTCTTTTTCTTTTCTTTATTTCTGTCTTCCCTTTTTTAAAAAAATTTACTTTTTATTTTTGTAGTACTGGGGATTGAACCCATGCTGAGATACATCCTCCAAGTATTTTTTTTTTTTTTGAGTCAGGGTCTCACTAAGTTGCTTACTTAGAGCCTCACTAAATGGCTGAGACTGGCTTTGAACTTGTCATCCTTCTGCCTCAGCTCCCTGAGCCACGGGGATTACAGGCGGGCACCACCACACCTGGCCAGTACTCTTTCTTAGAGCTCCATCTGTGATTCATATCCAAGGATAAGTCTCTCAATGAGACAGAAGAAGAAATGAAGGTAAAAGCTAGTTGAACCCTATGATAAAGAGAGAAGAGGTAGGAGAGAGCCATCAGATAAAAAGAATGCAGAGCTGCCTCACTTTACCAGGCTTCTTTATACAAAATGTGACCAGTATGTGCAGACCCCAGGGGCAGAAGTTCATCAGTAGGTTGAGATAGAGGTGTTGACCTGCCCTACCCCCAAAGCCTTTCCCCTGCTGGTGATTCAGACTGCTCAAGTCCTCTAGGAATTGTGCCATGTGCCATCAGCTGAGCCCCACTGCAGTTATACAGTCCCCTTGCTCCTCTTCTGGGGACTCCTGCACTATCCTCCATGACCCAAAGATACCAGCTCTCTCCGCACTCTATGGAAGGGTCACTGTCTTTGCACTGCGGTGACCCTCTCACTCCAGAGCCTGCCTCCTAGCAGATGGCCCAAAGCCCAGAGTGGGCCAGAGGGAGTGACAGAGGAAGGCTGAGTCCAAAGAAGCAAAGCACTAGAGAGATACTGGCTGGAGTGTGCTCTATGTGTACATTAGTGTGGGTGGGCGGAAGGCCATTGGTTGTCTGCCCACCACAACAGCTGACATCTGTAATTTTTCCATCACTTCACCTATTTCCACAAATATACTCGGTGCCTCCATCGCCTAATAAAATCCCTCTTCCCTATCCACACCTTATGCTATGGCCTATTTCTCTCCTCCATCCTGAAGTCCCTGGGAGAGTCATCTCCCCACCTCTCCTTACAAACGCTCAGTCTTTAAGCATTTATAGGGTGGTGTCTAACCCCTGTAATTTTCCACAGGCATCCTACAAAGGTCAACAATGACCTCAGTGCCAAATCAGTGGGCAGCTCCCACCCTCCTCCTCTTGAATTCCTCCCTCATCTCGGCTT